TGTGACCATGGTTCATAGGTTGATGCTCAATCACTGAGCCGTGCCTGCTGGGCTTGTTTTGTTTCCAATGTCCAGTTATACTGCATTTGGTAAGAGAACACTGATTTTACATGGTGGAACCTGCTAATGTTTTCTTTGTGTCCAAATATATTATCAATTTCTGTCCGGCAGTTTTCTTCAGCTTTATGCTTGATTTTTTGAGGGAGAATTTTTATCAGTTGAGATGCTCTGAATGACACTTATTTTCTAACAGAAGTTTTGAATGCATGTGATCTGCCCTTTCTGGTTCCGTTCCTTCATGGACAAGACTTCCTACACACAGATCAACAAAGGACTTGTATGCGTGCATAGAAGCCTAACCACTGGGCACAGACACCAGGGGGTGAAGGCGTGAGTGGGGACGTGGGGGGAGTATAGGGGGATAAGGACACATATTTTAATACCTTAATCCAGTGTTTTTCAACCTTTTTTGGACAAAGGCACACTTGTTTCATGAAAAAAATCACGAGGCACACCACCATTAGAAAATGTTAAAAAATTTAACTCTGTGCCTATATTGACTATATATAAAGTAATTCTCTTGAATAGGAATCAAATAAACACAAAGTATTTTATAATTACTTTATTATGAAATATTAAGTAAACAAAATAGTGAAAAATTATAAAATTCTTGTCTTGTCTGCACCTACGGCACACCAGGCAACATCTCGCGGCACACTAGTGTGCCGCGGAACAGCGGTTGAAAAACGCTGCCTTAATCAATAAAGAAAAAAACTCCCCACACAAGTGCGCCCTCTGCTGTCCACCTGGCTGTTCCTCATGAATGGTGTAGAGAGGGGAGGGGGGAAGTTGGCTTTTGTTTGTTTGTTTTTTAGGATTTTTTTTAAAAAATATTTTTTAATTGATTTTTTACAGAGAGGAAGGGAGAGGGCTAGAGAGCCAGATACATCGATCAGCTGCCTCCCACACACCCACCAGGGATGTGCCCACAACCCAAGTACATGTCCTTGACCAGAATCTAACCTGGGACCCTTGAGTCCGCAGGCTGATGCTCTATCCACTGAGCCAAACCGGTTTCAGGTTTGCTTTTCTTTAGGATTCTTAACTTTCCTTTCACTACCACATCCACAAGGGTGTCATCTTTACACCATAAACTGGTTCTCCCCAAGGATCAGTGCTTCTCCAAGGCTGCCCTGTCCCCACTCTCCAGACTTCCGTGTTGCTGGTGCTGCTGGTAGCTACTATGTCCCATCAGCGTTCACTATTTTACATATATATATATATATATATATATATATAAAATTTATTTATTTTATTTTTTTGGTTAACTATTTTAGCTTTGGTGCTGGGCAGCCTGAGAGTGATTTTGTCCACGCTCATCTGACATTGCCGTGCCCCTTTACCAGTTTTTAAATATCTCTTTTAAAAAATTATATATATATATATATATATATATATATATATATATATATATATATATATATATAAAATTGATTTCAGAGAGGAAGGGAGAGAGAGAAACATCAAGCAATGATAAGGAGAATCACTGATTGGCTGCCTCCTGCACGCCCTCCACTGGAAAGCATGTGCCCTGATGGGGAATCAAGCCATGAATGTAAATCAACACAGAGAAGAAATAAAACCACACATGAACCTGAAATTACCTGAAGTAGAGAACTCAGAGTCCAACAGAACTCCCGTGTGTGCTGCCGCAAGCCTGTGCACTCAGAAAGCGGTGGAGAGGGGGCTTAAGGGAAAAGGGGCAGGGTGCCGAAACCTGTTTGGCTCAGTGGTAGAGCGTTGGTCTGCAGACTGAAAGGTCCCGGGTTCGATTCCGGTCAAGGGCATGTACCTTGGTTGCAGGCACATCCCCTGTAGGGGGTGTGCGGGAGGCAACTGGTCGATGTTTCTCTCTCATCGACGTTTCTAGCTCTCTATCTCTCTCCCTTCCTCTCTGTAAAAAATCAATAAAATATATTTTTAAAAAAAAAGAAAGAAAGAAAAGGGGCAGGGTGTGAGTGGGCGTGGGGGGACGAGTCAAGAAATCAGGAAGACAGCTTTTCCCTCGCAGCACAATGTTCTGGTAAATGCCTTTTAATGCAATAAATTCCTAATATGGGCCTGGCAGTGAGAGACAGTGTCCGGTTTCCCACATCCTCAGCAACACAATATCAAACTCCATCATTTTTGCCAGTCTGATGGGTGAAAACTATTACCTCATTGTGGTTTTAAATATATTGCTCATATTATTAGTGAGATCATCTTTCTGAATTTTTTTTTGTCTTTTTGTATTTCTTCTTAAATATTTTGCTCTCTTTCACATGTATTAAAATGAAACCTGTTTGGCTCAGTGGTAGAGCGTCGGTCTGCGGACTGAAAGGTCCCGGGTTCGATTCCGGTCAAGGGCATGTACATTGGTTGCGGGCACATCCCCAGTAGGGGGTGGGCAAGAGGCAGCTGGTCGGTTTCTCTCTCATCGACGTTTCTAGCTCTCTATCCCTCTCTCCTCCTCTCTGTAAAAAACCAATAAAATATATTAAATAAATAAATAGATAAATAAATAAAATGTATTAAATTTCCGTATTTTTTTCCTTTCCTTTGTTTTGTTAAAGACAGGTTTGCCTACCCATGGTTTTAACACATTCTGTGATACAGGTTACAGTTATTCATATGGAAAATAATGAAATCTTCTATACTAATAAAAGGGTAATATGCTAATTAGATCAGAAGACCTTTCAGACAAAGCCCATGGTGGTGGGGCCAAGGCAGAGGTGGTTAGGGGCCATCAGGCCAGGAAGGGAGGGCAGTTGGAGGTGATCAGGCCGGCAAGGGGGGGCAGTTGGGGTGAGCAGGCTGGTGGGGGGACAGTAGGGGGATGAGCAGGTCAGCAGGCAAAGTGGTTAGGGGCGATAGGCAGGCAGGCAGGTGAGCAGTTAGAAGCCAATGGTCCCAGATTGCTAGAGGGATGTTGGGCCTAAACCTGCAGTCAGACATCCTCTGAGGGGTCCCAGATTGGAGAGGGTGCAGGCCAGGCCGAGGGACATTCCCCCCCGCCCCCACCCCCATGCATGAATTTTGTGCACCAGGCCACAGTAATTAATAACACAATAATTTGCCGAGACTGGTTTGGCTCAATGGATAGAGCGTCGGCTTGGGGACTGAAGGGTCCCGGGTTGGATTCCAGTCAAGGGCATGTACCTTGGTTGCGGGCATATCCCCAGTAAGGGGTGTGCAAGAGGTAGCTGATCGATGACTCTCTCTCATCGATGTTTCTATCTCTCTCCCTTCCTCTCTGTACAAAATCAATAAAATATATTTTAAAAAAAATAACACAATAATTTCATGCACCCAGAACTGCAACCTACTTTTGCCTCACCCTGTATGCTGTGAGACTTCTATGGTTTTCACACGGTTAGTGTGAAATATGTAGAATTTATTGTTGTGAACAACGTATGTGAGAACTGTGTGAGGGAGCCAGGCTCTAAATTCTTTTATTTTTCCCACGTGGATATCCTAACACCACTTATTTAATGGTTCTTTATTTCTCAGCCGATCCTACACGAAGTCCCACAGACACGGAGAATTGTCTCTGGCTCCCTAATCTATGCCAGCTGTCCAGTGTCTGTTCGCACGCCAGCACCGCACTGCACTACTCCCTGCAGCTTTGTGACAGTCTGGAGAGGCCAGCTCACTCACTGTTCTTTCTGCCTTGGCCATGGTGCATCTTCTCTTCTAGCGAGTCTGCTTTCGAGTCCCGTGAAAAATTAACTCAGAGTGTCCGTTGAGAGTACACCGAAATGACAGGTTAATTTGGGGGAGATGGTATCTTTTGGGATATGGAGCCTTTCCACCCGTGATCGGGGTATTCACCTGCATTTGTTCAGGTTCTCTGTAACATTCTCCAGCTTTACAGTTTTCTTTGTAAAGGTCTCCCCCATTTCTCAACGGAGTAATCACTGCACCCAATTCTTGCACGTTTAAAGCCTTCTCTAATCCCTCCCTGCCTGCCTTCCGCAGCTCCGGGACCTGACAGCGCCTCTGCGGACCCCTTGGCCTACCCAGTCACTAGGACACATTTCCCAGTGGTTCTCAAGTTATGTCTTACAAATGCTTCCCATTCTTTTTTTCTTTTTTAAAAAAAATTTTTTTATTGAGTTTTTACAGAGAGGAAGGGAGAGGAACAGTTAGAAACATGGATGAGAGAGAAACATCGATCAGCTTCCTCCTGCACACCCCCTACTGGGGATGTGCCCACAACCAAGGTACATGCCCTTGACCGGAATCGAACCTGGGACCTTTCAGTCCGCAGACCGACGCTCTATCCACTGAGCCAAACCGGTTTTGGCCTGTTTTCCATTCTTTTTTCTTTTTCTTAATACATTTTATTGATTTTTTACAGAGAGGAAGGGAGATAGAGAGCTCGAAACGTTGAGGAGAGAGAAACATCGATCAGCTTCCTCCTGCACACCCCCCACCGGGGATGTGCCCACAACCAATGTACATGCCCTTGATTGGAATCGAACTCAGGACCCTTCAGTCCACAGGCTGACACTCTATCCACTGAGCCAAACCGGTTTTGGCCTGTTTCTCATTCTTAACTGCAGGGTAAACCTCTAAGGACCGGCTGGATTTTCGTACAGGCTTGAGGAAGAACATGCATGAGTTGTGGGAAGGTCTATTGCTAACAAGGGAGGAGGAAGAGGGAAAGCAGGTGGGGGCTCCACAGCAGGGAAGTGGGAGGAGCCTGTCCATGTGGTCTTTGGGAAACAGGAATGCCGGGAGCACCCACCTCTGCAGGAACAAAAAGCCGCCCTCTTGTACCTTCCACCTGTGTGGCCACTGGCATGCGTCAGGGTCCGGGGCTTTGCTCTGGGAGGAGGTGCAGCTGGCCTTGATGACACGGGGCGGGTGTGTGTGTGTGTGTGTGTGTGTGTGTGCGCCCTCCCATAGCCCACCCATCACACGTCACCCTGAGAAGTCACACACACAGTCACGTGGCCCACGGTACAAGTACTTTATTTCAGTTACAATAGTGCCACACCAGAACTACAGTAGCACAAAACATTAAGAATACAAAAACCAGATTCCCAGCCCCAAACCCACATCCATGTACCTGCAGACAAGCCAGCCTCAGGGCTCCTGGGCTTCAGGGGCAGGGTCCCCCTTGTTCCCCCATCCCCACACTCACAGCTCACCAGGGAGCAATGAGTGCCAATGACAGGCCCTCTGGCTGGCCCTCAGCTCTGGGACACTGGCTTGGGCTGGGAGGTCCCAGGCCTGGGTGCTGACAGACACCAGACCGCAGGGAAGGCCAGCGGGCAGGGAGGGAACAGGACTGGGCAGCCTGCTCTGCTCCTGTCTGAGCTTTCCTCTGACGAGCTCCCAGGGCAGTTGCTTGTGGGGCTAGAACCAGCTCTGGGCTTATGGGAAGGAGGGCGAGGCAGTGGCTGAGCTGTGGCTTCTGCTGGGCAAGGAGGGCCCGGCCTCCTGGGCCAAGCGAGTGCCGGCAGGGCGGGGCTGCCAGGTGGCCTGGGCTGCGGCAGGCGGGCACCTGGCAGGCGGGCACCGGCTGCTCCTGCCCGCTCCCAGGCACTGCTTCCCTAGATGGCTAGCGCGGGGCTCCAATGAGGTCCCTCTGGGGGCTTCTGAACTGCGGCCTCGGCCTGACCGGGTTGGGGGACCCGTGGCTGAAAGCATTTCCCAAGAAGGAGTCCAGATAGCTACAAGGATTGTCTGGGTTCAGCCCACGGGGCTGAGGGCGGGCGGCGCTCGGGGCAAGGTCAGGGGCTCCTGGCCCTGACCCCGCCCACTGGCCTGGAGGCAGAGCTTCGGTGCTGGTGGGAAGCAGCTCAGGGGGCACCGGGAGCAGGGGGTATGGCCTTGTGTTCCGGTCAGGACACTCGGGGGCTTCGCTGAGGAGGCCAAGGGGCCCTGGGGGTGAGGGGCTGTCCCCCTGGGGTGCGCCCAGGGTCATAGCCTCCATAAGGCACTAGAGAATGGAGGGTGGGAGGGCTGTGGCCGGAGCCAGGCGCGGCCGGGCGGAGGACAGACTCGGAGGGTAAGGTAGTGGCGGGGGTGGGGAAGCCGGAGAGGCAGCGGGCTCCCAGGACAGACATGGGGGCGGGGGGTGACAAAAGAGGGATGAGAAGAGCACAGGAGAGCACATCTGATGGGGAGGAGGGGTGGTCACAGGGTCCTGCGGTCCAGATCCAGGCGCGCGGGCACCCAATTGGGTTCGAGGGCCTGCCCTGGCCTCACGCTGCTACAGCCCTCGGCCTCCTGCTGCTACTTTGGGATCAGACCTTTCTCGCTGGCGTTCCCGCTGCTGGGCTCTGGGGACAGTCAGGGGCGCTAAGACAGGTGGTGCCCATGAGCTGGGCCTCCCCGAGCCGGCCCCCTCCTGGCTGGCCCCAGGCCCCTCCTCCCTAAGCCAGCGATGGGGGCGGCCACCGTGTATCCCGGGGCTGAAGGCCGCTCAGGGGCCCGGGCATGGCTGCCTGAGCTCGGCCTCGCAGCCAGGGAGGCAGGGGAGGGGTCGTCAGTGGGGCTTCCCTCGTCCACAGGTGATTTAGAAACACAGAACATAATAAATATACCAATCCTCTCCTTAAAAAAAAAAAAAAAAAGTGTTTTAGATGTAGCATCTCCCTGAAGATTTCCAGTGTATTCCACAAGGTTTACAAAATAGTTTTCCCAAAAATATATACGTAAAGCATTTGACACAGCGGCATCCGTGGAGTGTCTGGCGCCGGGTGTGGGCATGGGGCCGTGCCCGCCGCCCTTGTCAGCGTGGGGCCCAGGCCTGGCGAGCAGCCGGCCTGACGCCCAAATGCCCATCGGAGTGGGTGTGTGCGCCTGGGGCCGGGGTGACAGGGTCTCCCCGGGGGGCCACATCTCACATGATGCCGAGAACCCCCGTCACAGCTCAGTTCCCGCCGAAAACCCTCCAGTGCGGGGCGGGGGGCACCCTGGGCACTGGACGGAGGGGGCAGCCCGTGGGCTCTGCCGCCGAGGCTCGCTCTCCGCCCCTCACCAGACCTCGCACTTGTGACGCGGGTTCATGGGCGAGCCGGGCGGGCAGTGGAAGTGCTCCGAGAACTCCCTGGAGTTGGAGACGGAGCCGATGACCCGGAAGCGGGAGGGGCTGTGCGGGTCCGTGATGAGGCCCTCGTGCGTGCTCTCGGGCGTGCGGACGGAGCACCAGACCTTGGTGGGGGGAAAGGGAGAGGCGGGGGTCACTGCGGGGCCGGAGGCGGCCGGACTGCCCCGTGTCCAACAGCAGAGCAAGGAGCCCCCGCCTGGTCCTAAGCCCCGGGGTCAGGAAGGCCGGCCAGGGGGCCCAGAGAGAGAGAGAGAGAGAGAGAGAGAGAGAGCGGACAGCGTGTCCCCCGTCCCAGCATCCTCGGCTGCTGTGCTCCTGTCCGTCCCCTAGGTCTCATCTGAACTGAGCATTTGGCCCCCAAACCATCCTGAAAATTGGATCGAGTCCCTGTCACTCACTTCCTGGACAGAACAACTGCCCACAGGCCTGGCAGCGCCAAGTGCCAACAGAAGGCTCTACGCTGAATGCCGCCGGCTCAAGGGACAGCTGGGTGCATACTGAGTCGAAGAGACTTCTGGAACCCAGAGCCAGAAGGGCCCTCCATGGCCACCTTGTCCGCTCACCCACCGGAGGCAGCAGTCCCTTCGCTAGCTCGCCTGGCCCGTCCCCGCATCTCTGCAGCGAGAGGAGCCGCCCCTCCCGGGCAGCTGCCCCCGGACGGCCCGAGGGCCCGGGGGGCTCTCCGCTCTGGCCCTCGGAGCTCCCGGGACGGAGCGGGAGGAGCAGAGTCTGGCTTCCTCCTCACACACTCACCTGCGCGAAGCCCAGGAAGAAGAGCTGGTCGTTGGTGAGCCCCAGTGTGGGCAGCGTCTGCTCGGGGCCGTTCTGCTTCACCCAGTTCTGGTAGGCCTGGAGGAGAGAGCGCTCAGCGCCGGACACCAGCAGGGGGCGGCGGAGGGGCCCGCGAGGGAGCTGGCTTCTGAGGTCTGGCGTCAGCTCTGGGGCCCAGCTCAGCCCAGGGGCGCTGGCTTCTTTACTAAGGTGACCAGACGTCCCGATTTCTAACCATTTGTCCCGATCCGGGACTTTTTAAAAAACGCCACGGGATGCGGGACAAATTGTTAGAAATCGGGACTGTCCTGCCCAAAGTGGGACGTCTGGTCACCTTATTTTTAAACTTTATTTTTAAATATATATATTTTATTGATTTTTTTTTTTTTTTTACAGAGAGGAAGAGAGAGGGATAGAGAGTCAGAAACATCGATGAGAGAGAATCATCGACCAGCTGCCTCTTGCACACCCGCTACTGGGGATGTGCCCGCAACCAAGATACATGCCCTTGACCACAATCGAACCTGGGACCCTTCAGTCCACAGGCCGACGCTCTATCCACTTTGCCAAACCGGTTTTGGCATGGTCACCTTATTCTTTACCTGCCCTCCTTCTGAGGCGAGTACATTCAACCCGTGGCTTTAAATACCAGCTTCATGCCAAAGGCCCTCCGATGCAACTGCCCCCGCTGGACCTCCAAGATGCATCTCCAACTTAACACGGCACAGACAGAATGAAAGGGCACACACACACACACACACACACACACAGTGGTATTGAGGCCCAAACTCCAGAACTCCTCTGATGCTTCTTCCAATCAAAGCAAACACCCCAATCTGACGACTCCTCACCCTTCCCAGTGCTCCCTCCCATTGCCTGCCTGGACAACCTCACACGGCGTTCTCACTCGGCTCCTTGACTCAAACCAGCCCAATTCCAGCCCCCTCCCGACACAGCCAGCAAGCCGTCCTTGGAAAGCAGGGGCTGGCGGACTTCCTCTGTGAGGGGCCAGGGAGTGAACAGTTCCAGTTCTGGAGGCGGACTGGTCTCTGCTGCCACCCCTCAGTCCTGCCCCCCGTGGCGTGAACGCAGCCACAGGCAGCATGGCGGTGGGTGGGCCTGGCTGCAGCCCCCCAATATTCACAGAACCCGCCTGAGGGCTGCGTGTGGCCCGCAGTCTGGAGGTTCGCTGACCTCCGTTTTAGAGGATGAATTGGCCCACGTCATTCCTCTATTTAAAGACCATGCAGCGAGCTGAAACCGGTTTGGCTCAGTGGATAGAGCGTCAGCCTGCGGATTCCGGTCAAGGGCATGTACCTTGGTTGAGGGTATATCCCCGGTAGGGGGTGTGCAGGAGGCAGCTGGTTGATGTTTCTCTCTCATCGATGTTTCTGGCTCTCTACCCCTCTCCCTTCCTCTCTGTAAGTAAAAAAAAAAAAAAAAAAAAAATCAGCCGAAACCGGTTTGGCTCAGTGGTAGAGCGTCGGCCTGTGGACAGAAGGGTCCCGGGTTTGATTCCGGTCAAGGGCATGTACCTTGGTTGCGGGCACATCCCCAGTGGGGGGTGTGCAGGAGGCAGCTGGTCGATGTTTCTCTCTCATCGATGTTTCTGGCTCTCTGTCCCTCTCCCTTCCTCTCTGTACAAAATCAATACAAATATTAAAAAAAAAAATCAATAAAATATTAATGAAAAAAGTAAAGACCATGGAGCGACCTCCCCTGTAACCAGGACAACACTCAAGCCCCTTGCTCTGGGCCCAGCTGCTCCTCCAACCTCACCTCCCCCACTCGGCCCTGCTCTCCCTCCACCCACCACCCTTCCTGCCCTTGAACTTGCCCGGCTGTGTGTCCACCTCGTGGCCCCTGCACAGACTCTCCTTCCCATGCCTCTTCCCCATCATTTAGGTCTTCATTCAGATGTCAGTCCCTGACACACACACCCTGCTCTTCTGGACACGAGAGCGCTTGTTTGTCTCGGTGAGCATGGCCTTTCTGTCCCCTCCCTGTCCCACCACCACGGGGACTTTGTGAGAGTGGGTGACTGTGTGTTGCCACAGAAACCCCAGTGTCCACCACAGGGCACACGGGGGAAGGCCGGCAATGCACAGGCACTGACTGACCAGTGCACTTCACATGGCGACCGACGTTTCTGGGCTGTTTCCTCAACTGCCAAATGGGGGCTGTGAGACCCCCCTGTAAAGGTTTGGGGTACGCGGTAAGGCCTAAAAGTGAACGGCGCCTCTTAGTATTTCTGCTCTGACTGCCTGGGGAGGAGGCAGCGGCCGCTCTGATAGATGCCGCCTCCTCTTGTTCTCCTGGGGCCTGTCGTACGCCCACCCGATCAGCTGCCACTCCTGAACCGCACCCTGGATCAGGCCGTGCCCAGCTGACACCTGGTGCAGCCCAGGACACAGGGTTCAGCCAAGCACACCGAGGCTCGGCGGCCAGGGGACTTACCGTATTTTTCGGACCATAAGACGCACTTTTTTCCCCCCAGAAGTGTGGGGGGAAAAAGTCCCTGCGTCTTATGGTCCAAATATAGCCTACACATATACTTTAAAAAAAAGTTTTTTTACTTGCCCGGCTCTAAAATGGTTCTAAATGCTGCTGTTTACTTTACAGGGTTGATTACATGTGTTTATGACTGTGATGTTGGGTTTTAATGCACATAAAATATTTTAGGACACTATTTGTTTCAGAATCTTTTTTTCTTCATTTCCCTTCTCTAAAAACTGGTGCGTCTTATGGTCCGGAGCGTCTTATGGTCCGAAAAATACGGTACTCCCGGACCTACCTCCATGGCCTGGGTCCCTGCCCTCCCTTCAGGGCCCGCTGCTTCCCGAATAAGTGGCGCGTGTGTGTGTATGTGTGTGTGTGTGTGTGTGTGTGTCCCGGGAGGAACAGGCAGACTCCGGTGGGTCCACCCCAGGCCCTTTCCCGGGTCTCTCTGTCGGCCTGGACTCAGGAGCAGAAAGCCTCACAGGCGCCCAGCTCCGGGCCAGCTGCCTTCCCGGCACCCTCTCCAGGAGCCCTCACTGCACCATGTCACAGAGGAGGGGGCGGAGGCTCACCGAGCGGCTGCAGCGACCCTGACTGGGCTGCCCCGGCCGTGCTGGGCGCGGGCCTCTTACCCGGTAGGCCGCCTTGAGGCCCCCGTTGTCGGCGATGTTCTCCCCGAGGGTGTGGCGGCCGTTCACCGGCTCCCCGTTCACGCTGTAGTTGCCGTACTGCTGCACCATGCACTCCGTCTGCCGCTTGAAGGCCTCCACGGACGAGTTCTTCCACCAGGGCCGCAGGTTCCCGTCCTTGTCGTACTCCCGTCCTGCGGGGCCGAGGGAGGTCAGGTCAAGAGGAGGCGGCGGACGGGACCTCTCCTCCCATCTGCACCCGCGCTGGGGAGATGGCTGCTGAAGGCCGCTGACCCTGAGCCCCAGAAGGGTCAATGGAGCCGGTGGCACTAGCGCCACAGCCCCCGACGTCTCGGCCTTGGGGTCCCCCAGGCAAGAGGGAACGAGGAGAATTCTGAATGTTAGTCCGTGAGGAGGGGAACCTCAACTCCTTTGGCTGTGGCCAGATCAGAGAAGTCTCTGGAACAGTGGACAAGTGTACGCTCCCACTCACTACCTACCCCCGAGGACCAGACACCTCCCAGGGGCAGGGTGCTCCATGGTGCGCCTGGCAGTCCTCACAATCACCATCACGCCCACTTTACAGACAAGGAAACGGAGGCCCGGGGAAACGATGGGACTTGCTAAGGTTCATACGATCTGCCGAAACCAGTTTGGCTCAGTGGATATCAGCCTGTGGACTGAAGGGTCCCCGGTTCGATTCCGGTCAAGGGCATGTACCTTGGTTGCGGGCACATCCCCAGTGGGGGGTGTGCAAGAGGCAGCTGATCGATGATTCTCTCATTGTTGTTTCTAACTCTCTATCCCTCTCTCTTCCTCTCTGTAAAAAAAATCAATAAAATATATTTTATATAAAGTTCATACGATTGGCAGGAGGATTTGAAGCCAGAGCCTCTGGCTCGGGGCTCAGTAAGATGCTTAGATGTGAAAGAAGCAAAAGCAGAAGGAGTGGGGCCGGGAAGCTGATCCCCCCGCCCCGCGAAGGGAACCGCAAGGAGCTCATACCTTGATCATCAAAAGCATGAGTCAGCTCGTGGCCCACGACGACCCCGATGCCGCCAAAATTCAAGGCCCTGGAGGGCGGGGAGGACATGAAGGTGAGAGGGGAGAGGCCCGGGGACACAGCAGAAACCCACAGTGCTCTGCGGGCACGCGGCCGCAGCCTGGGCCTGAGGCCAGTCGGAAGCTGGTGCCTGGGGTGTGGCCAGCCTGTGGCCACTGGGCGCCAGCACTGGGCTAGGTGCTCCGCAGACCTGCACTGTCCTCTTTGGTCATCGCCGAAGAGTGAGGCGTGAGGCGCCGACTCTATAGATGAGCCAACCACGGCCTGGAATGGGGCGACCCCTTTGCCCGAGGGCCGCCTGGCCAGCAAAGCGCAGCCCGGGGGACCTTCCCGAGACCGTGCCCTCGCCCTTCCCAGCTCCCCGGCTGCGACTGCCCTAAAGCACTGTCCGAGGCGCCCTCCCCCAGGCCCCAGGACCAGGAGGCCCCGGAGGGAAGCCGGGAGGGAGGCTGTCCTCTGAGACGGCTGAGTGCCCCAGGCTCCCTGGGCGAGGGGGGCGAAGGGTGCTCCATGAGGCTGGCTGGCTGGCTGGCGTGGTCAGCTGTGGGCTGGGGCTGGGCTGGGGGTCCAGTGAGGTGGGGGGAGATGGGATGGGAGCACCGTCCGTACATGGGTGAAGAGCGGGTGTAGAACGGGGCCTGCAGGATCCCGGCTGGAAACACAATCTCGTTCTTGGTGGGCGAGTAGTACGCATTCACCATGGGAGGGGTCATGCTCCACCTGCAAGCAACATGCATGGGAATGGTCAGGACGGCCTGGGGAGGGCCCGGGGGCAGCCCACCGGGAGGATACCAAGAGCCGAGAAAATGTGGATGCCCTTGACCCTAGGCCCAAACACACACGAATGGGGACATCCACAGTAACACCTAAATGTCTATAAATAAGGGATCGGCTAAATCTAACATCACACCACCCAAGGCAACACCGAGGCTCTGACAAAGAACATAAAAAGCCTGGCCGGTGTGGCTCAGTGGTTGAGCATTGCCCTATGAACCAGGAAGCCATAGTTCCATTCTCGGTCAGGGCACATGCCCAGGTTGTGGGCTCGAATCCCAGTGTGGGATGTGCAGAAGGTAGCCGATCAATGAGTCTCTCTCATCATTGATGTTTCTATCTCTCCCTCTCTCTTCCTCTCTGAAATCAATAAAAAAACATTTTTTACAAAGGACATCTTTAGTGATGTAGCCTAGTCATTCATTTAATTAAAACCAGACCCTTGAGGACAAGACCTTCAATACGATGTGACCACATCTGTACCCGAGAGGATAAGTGATGAACTGACATGTCAGGCGTGGGTCCTTGGCAGCCGTTTTCTTGAAATTGAATAAAATGAACTTGTCACCTCAAGGAAAAGAATTGACACCCCTTGGCGCCACTGATAAAAATTCAAGGTTAAAACATAGTTAGATGTTTCCAGCGAAAATTAAAATCCTAAAGCCTGTGTCAGCCAGCTTCCTGACCCATCAAGGCTTTTCTCAGCGGCTCCGTGGTGGTATGATCAGATGTGGGTGTTTCTTTTTGGATATTGTGTCATCCAAGTGTCACTATTTGGAAGATATATATGAAACCCAGCGAGTCACTGTTTGCCAAATGACCCGTGTATGATGTTAAAAGTCACGGGTGGGAAAAAGAGGGATCAAAGTGCCAGACAGACAGATGGTGTTTTGTATAATGAAGTGTGAAAAGTTCATGGAGTTAGTTTCCGATTCCACAGGGCCATTAGCCTTGAAGAAATTACCACTTCATGAATCTTGGTTTAACATCAATAAAGAACATGCCCTCAAACGAGGAAAGACGATTAAAATAAGCCCCCCTTTTCCATCCACCAGTATCTGTGTGAGACTAGATTTGCTTTCTATATAGTTCAAAAGACAATACACTGTAATAGCTTGACTACAGAATTATACTGTATAACCAGATTGTACATAATAAACAGATATGAGAATCCAGATGTCTAGGATTAAGCCAGAGACATTAAAGAAATTTGAAAAAGTCAAACAATACCTCTTTTTTCCTCATTAAACTTATAAAAGTCCCCTCCCCCCCATAAAGTGTGCATAAAAATTGATGCAACTTTCATAAAAAAAAAAAAAAAAAAAAGCTCTCTGGGTCCAATAGTTTTTTAAGAGCGTGGAAGGGACCCTTGATGGGATCTGGTACGGAAACAGTCGGTCCCCGGATGACATTTCTGGTGTGGAGGGGACGGGACCATGAGGGGCAGAGCGAGACAGGAAGGACATTCTCTCTAAGGGCCTAGACAGTCCCTCTGTCTCTCCAGGCGAGCCCCACGGCGGTGTGGTAAGGGACACTGAGTGACAGGATACCGAGAACCTGTAAACATCGTATTTATATTAAAATAATGATGAATACATAAATGGGTAGGAAATGACGCTTCAGTGGAAAACTGTAGCCTAACGGTAAAAGACCAGATACATCAGGACCTTGTGGCAGTACCTGGGCCGTGTTCTGGAGATAAAAGAGTGCTTCTGGAGCATTTTAGAGGTACCCTGCCTGGCTGCAGAAGGGAAAAGGTAGAAGAAACAGATGCTCAAAGCCCGGCTGTCCACCAGGGGGCACCAGAGGCACGGAGGCGCTGCTTTTGCCGGCTGCCTGGTAAGCTTTATTCTCGCCTGGTAAGCTTTATTCTGCACCATGCGTTAGGCACAGAGGGAGGTTGGTCTGAGAACCAGCACTGGGCTGACTGCACCTGGGTTTTCTGAAGAGACTACTAAAACAACAACAACGACAGACCAGGCCTCACTCCAGGTGACGTTAATATAAGAACGTCTGGGGACAGGCCAGAAAGCTGTCTTGTATTTTATTCTTTTACTTTTTAACTTTTTTAGAGAGAGAATGGAGGGGAGAGAGGAAGTGGGGGAAAGAAAGAGAAACATCGACGTGAGAGAGACACATCCATGGGTTGCCTCCAGTATGCATCCCAACCAGGGTGACGGATTTTAAACCTGCAACTGAGGTACGTGCCCTTGACCGGGAATCGAACCCGCAGCCCTTTGGTCTGTGGGTCGATGCTCTAACCGGCCAGGGCAGAAAGCTGTCTTTAAAAAAAAAAAAAAAAAAAAAAAAACTCCCCAGAGACTCCTGATGTGCAGTAAGGTTTGGGAAGCACAGCGGCTAGGGGCCTATCTGGAACCTTCCGCAGCCTCCGGGGAACCCGCCCTGGGAACCCAGCGCTCCTGCTGGCGAGGAGTTGGAGGCAACGAGCCCTAGCGGAGGGGCCCCTCGGTGCGACCCTCCCGGGGGTCCTCGCACTCGGCGGTCACACCAGCTCCGAGGGCAGAGGCGGTGCTGGGATGCGATGCCAGGGCTGCTCCCCTCCAGGCCGGGCTACTCTGCCAACAGCCTGGCGCCGGGGCACCCAGACCAGCCGGCCCCAGCTCCTGCCTGGGAACCCCTTCTTCGTCCCTGGGCCCCTGGTCTGGAGAGGGGCCGAGGGCCCTCAGGACAGTGATGTCGGCACCCGGTCCACAAAGGGGAGCTCAGCCGGAGCACCCCGGGAGCTGGGCGCCGGGGCCAGCACCTCCGGGCCGCACTCACTGGTCTCTGTTGGGAGCCTTCCTCAGCTGGTCGGCGGTGACCCTCCAGGAGAAGTTGAAGAAGCGCATGGCGTTCTCGAAGTAGAGGTCCGGGACTGCGGTGTACTGGGCGGGAGAGCAGAGCCACAGGGTCAGCGCGGCCCGGCCGAGGCCTCGGACCCTGGAGCCCAGACCCTTCGAAACCGAGGAAACGGAGGGCCCGCGAGGGTAAGGGGTTGGTCTGCCCGTCAGAGGCCAGAACGGGGCCTCGAGGCGGCAGGCCTGGCTCTTTCCTCGGCCCTCCGCCTGCTGGGGCCTGGCCTCCTCTCCCCCCGAGGACACAGAGAGCTTGGCCAGGCCTCTGATGCCAGCAGACGCCCGCGGTGCCCGGCATGCTCTGTGCCTGTGCTTCTCCTGTTAGACACTGGCCGCTGGCTGCCGAGCATTTCAAATGTGGCTCGAGTGGCTTTCAAATGTAATCTAAACTTTTTCCTTTTTGAATTTAATCTAATCTTAAGTAATTAGATTTGGATGAATTAACATCTCTGGCCAGTGGCCACCCCACAGGACAGACAGCACAGCTCTCAGAAATCAGGCTGGATCCAGCTCTGAGGGGGGCAGGGACGGGCATCTTCCTCGCCCTCAGCCCGGCCTTCCCGCTCCTTTTGGGTGCCAGGTTTTCCCTCGGATCCCCCCGGGCTTTCTAGCTTTACCACCAGGAGCGAGAGAAAACGCTGGGCCTGCGCAGGCCTCCGTCCCCGTTCCCAGGAGGCCCCGGTCTCCTGGCCTGACACTCTGGAGCACCTTAAGTTACCCTCAAGGAAAAAGGCTGCAAAAGTAAGGCGACCAGACGTCCCGATTTTTAACAATTTGTCCCGAATCCTGCGGCGTTTTAAAAAAGTCCCGATTTTCTAAAAGTTCCGACTTTTTTAAAACGCTGCAGGATTCGGGACAAATTGTTAAAAATCGGGACTATCCTGCCAAAAGTGGATATCTGGTCACCTTAAGCAAAAGGCACCTCGCATTCTCGGAATTGATCTTAACATCCTTGGGTTTTAAATAGAACCGCGATGAGACGTTATTACAACTGCAAAAAGGCCTGTGTTGATGAGTCTCAGTCACAAAAAAATCTCAAACTGTACCTCTCCGGGCAGAAGCACGACGCATGGCAAGGAGCAATTTGCCAAACGTTTTATCTACCAGCCACCCCTGCTGCCTAAATGAAGCTTCAGCGTGCACTGGAGAGTTATGCTTCCTCTTTCCTGCTGGCATTTCAAGGGCCACACCGGGGGTCAGGTTTCTCCGGGGAGGTGGGCAGGGTCCTGGGACAAGAGGGAACTCTGGAGTTGGGGAGGAGGAGGCGGTACGAGGGGTCCACGCTGTACCCCACTGATGTTTTAGGGGGGCGCGCCAATGCTCTCTGCACCTCTAGGGTGTTTCCTCCCACGATCAAGGGGCACGGGGCACCGTGCTGGCACGGACTGCTGGGCCCTGGCTGCTGGTGGCTCCAGGGAAGGGGCCTCCGGCTGGCCCAGGAGACCGAGGAGCAGCCCCAAAGCCCACAGCTCACCATCTCAAGATGTCTTCACTGCCCTGGTGCCGCCAGCGCCCCACCTGGACCCCCCTTCCCCAAATGGAGACCCCAGGCGCATCTGGGAACGTAAGGGTGCAGGCAGGAACCACTCACGTCGTTGAACACTTTGTCCAGCTCCTTGGGGTCCATGATGAAGTTGGGGTAACCTATCATGTTGTAGATTGCGTCTGCCTGTTTGGGGGAGACACAGAGGACAGACAGTGAGTGCCCAGCCATGCCCCCTCAGGGTCAGGGCCAAGGGGGACTCAGGGCCAGGCTCCTCCCACCCCAGGTTTTTCCTCTCTTTCTGGAAGGACTCCTCTGCTGCCTAAATTCTACTCATCTCTTAGATATCCCTTAAATATCACTTCTTTTTTTTATTTTTTATAATATATATTTTATTGATTTTTTTTACAGAGAGGAAGAGGGACAGAGAGTTAGAAACATTGATCAGCTGCCTCCTGCACACCCCCACTGGGGATGTGCCCACAACCAAGGTACATGACCTTGATCGGAATCGAACCTGGGACCTTTCAGTCTGCAGGCTGACCCTCTATCCACTGAGCCAAACCGGTTTTGGCTAAATGTCACTTCTTAAGGGAGGCCTTCCCTTGTCATCACCCACCACTACTTCAGGCCCTTCCCTCTGCACTGGACACCCGGCGTCTCCCTGCACGCTCCCTCGCACCCGCGGCACGTCCTTTTCATACAGTCGCGTGCTCAGGCCGCCCCTCCATCCCGCCACTGACCACCCCGTGCTCTCTCCTGCACCTCCCCCTCCCCTCTCCAGTCAAGCTCCTGGCAGCCTCACCTTCTCCTTGGCTGACTTCCGCGTGTCTTCGTCCATCCACTTGAGGGTGCTCAGGCTCTCCTCAAACGCCTTCTTGATTTCCAGGATGATCTGGCTGGCCTGCGGAGACAGGGCTGACCCTGGAGGGCAGGTCGGGGATGGGAACCCCCCTGGGGGAGGAGGACGGCAGGCAAAGACTGAACTCTGGTCTTGGCTCAAAGCCTCGGGCTCCTGGTGCTGGGCTAAGAACGGGGGTGGCACAAACATGCTCCCCAGCCTTGCTCCTCAGTATACCGACGTCCCATCAGACAAGACTAGACAGGGCTCCAAGGTCAAACACGGTGAGAGCACGCTCTGAGAACGCTGGGCCATCCTCTTGGCTGCAGGACTTGTCCGAGCCTTCAGGGGGCACCATGCAGTGGACTGTTTAGTGGAGACCACACGGCCTCTCCCAGGCTTATTGGGGCCCAGAGTCCCTGTCTGATGGAACGGGTTCACAATCCAGAGAACTCGCGTCCTAAGCAGCAGTTTTAGAAGTGTTCTGCTCAGGCTGGAGAGGAACGGACATTCTCAAGGGCAATGTCACAGGCAGGCAGGCCAGGGGGCGGGAGCGTCCAGACCAGGGGAAGGCGGGGTTTGCAGCAGGAAGAGCAGAGGGGCCGATGGCCGACAGAACCGGACTCTGATTCTGCACCAGGGAAGCCACTCCATGGGTCTGAGTCTCCGCTTGCTAACCTCCGACTGCAGGTAACACCCATGTGTTTAATATTAGTGATAAAAACGTAGAACAGCCACCTTTTCTGAGACCTTATTTCGTGCCAGGTGCTCTTACACGCAGCATCTCATTCATCTCCCCTGGGGGGGTGCACACCCCCGTCCACCCCTGCGTCACAGGTGAGGTGAGACTCTGGTCCCAGGCCCCGCGCCCAGGAACCGGTAAATCCGGGCTCGGATGTGGCCCTGCCTGCCTTCACGTGCTTAGCCACGATGCTCCTCTGCCCGCCTGGAACACACCGTCCCCCTTGGAGTAAGAAAAACGCCAACCCCAGGCCCAGCGCTGCCCTGCCAGCACCATGCCGCTGGTCCTCAGACCCCGGGGAGGGGAGAGGGCGGACGGGGAGGGCGGACGAGATAACACAGCCAAATGGCCTGCGCTCCGAGCAGCAACGCTCACGAGGGACTCTCTGATTCAGGGCTTCGGGAAACGAGGCCTCGGAGTTTGGGCTGGATCCTGGGGGAGGGACGGTCCAGACCAGACCAGACCAGACCAGGACCAGTGTGTGGCCGCCAAGTTCGCGAGCGGCGAGAGGCCACGGCCTGCGTCTGAGGGGAGGCACTCACCACGTTCTTGCTGTCCTCGGCGAAGGTCTCTTTGACAAACATGGGGCCCAGGGCGAAGCCCAGGTTGTTTTCTGTGTCGCTCACGCACAACTTCCAGCGAGGAAGGCAGGTCTGGAAACGGAGGGAGGGGTGGGTGACTGGGGCCCAGGCCGCCCTCCCAGCCCCTGATGGTCTGGGAGGCAGCGCCCGCTGGGGCCCCTGCTTCCTTCTAGAACTTTAGGGAGAGCTTTTCAGACCCCGTAGGGGTTATTTCAGACACGGGACTAAGGGGCCACAGCACGGCCCTCTTCATGGCCATCTACTCTTCCTTCCTTCCTTTATTCCTAAATATATATATATATATATATATTTTTTTTTTAATTGATTTTTTACAGAGGAAGGGAGAGAGAGATAGAGAGTTAGAAACATCAAGGAGAGAGAAACATCGATCAGCTGCCTCCTGCACACTCCCTATTAGGGATGTGCCCACAACCAAGGTACATGCCCTTGACCGGAATTGAACCTGGGACCTTTCAGTCTGCAGGCTGACCCTCTATCCACTGAGCCAAACCGGTTTCGGCCATCTACTCTTTCCTGAGTAGATGGGATCTTCGCAGGTGTGATCCTGCGTGTCCATCGGAATGACCTGGGAGGCGGGGGGCCTGGCGGGGAAACAGACTCAGCACAGAGGAGGCTCTGGCCCAGGGTCCCAGGGACCCAAACTCTGCCACGCCTGAGCGCACAGCCACGCTCCACCTGTCCTCCCTCCTGGGGGAGGATAAGGATCCTGGCGACAAAGAACCCTGGGAAGTTACCTGTCACTGAGCAGCAGGAGGACCCTCCCAGGAGGCCGGGACCAGCCCCCTTTAAAGCCTCGGGAGGAAGAATGTCACAGCGGCCCTGCCAGACTCTGTGCGGCCCCTGGTCCGGCCTCCCCCGCCAGCCCAGGGGCCTGCAGGACGCCCGTGCCCCTGAGCCGGGCTCTGGGCCGCAGCCCCACGGGGAGAGCACGGCTCGGGAGGAAAGCACCACGGCTCTCTCTGACCTCACCCGCTCCCTGCCCAGCAGCCCCCTGTGGACAGCCTGCATGACCAAGAGGGGGCGCCGCTCCCGTAGATCTATTGGCTGCAGAGGAAGCCAAGTCTTCTGGACCCTGGACAACAGGTGGTAAGAGTCGCCTGGGCCAGGCCGCCTGCTTCCTAACAGCCCTCCACGGGGAAGCACCCGCACTGCCCCCTGCAGGCAGGCGGACAACAAAACGTGGTGTTTTTATACAACAGCATTCTGCTCGGCGGCCACAAGGGCCCGCTCCTGATCTACACAACACCGGTGCATCTCACAGCCACGCCGGGCAGGAGCCAGGCACAGAGGGCACCTGGGGTCTGACTCCGACTTCACCCTCTACACCCGCCTGGGGGTGGGGGGCGGGGCTACCGTGAAGGGGCTCAGAGAACGGCTGGGTACACGGGTGATTTCACTTGTCAAAACCCACTGAGCTGTGTATTCTGTACATCTTGTTGCATGTAAGTTATACCCTCATTAAAAAAAACTTCTTCCAGGCCAAAAGGGAGGAAGGCAGGCGAAGGCATGCTAGATTCTCTAAGTCGAGTCGCCCAAGTTCTTTTACGCTTTCCCACCCAGGTGTCTGCCTGGCCGTCTTAATCCCCCCAACCCCACCCAGCCTTCCCCGGGGTAAGGCCTCCTGCGAGCTCAGGGACACCTGGGCAGGCCTCTTCAGGGGCCTCTGTATTCTCTGTCTCTGTCCACCTCCCTCATGGGCTCCATGCCCCTGGAGCGTACCCTGGTCATGCCATCCCCCAACCTTAGGCCTGGCACACAGTCGGTACTCAGCCCATGTCTGGGCGTGCAGAGGAACAGGCTCACCTTCTTGGTCCCGTACATGATTTCCATGAACTTCTCGTCGGCGTCCTGAAAGCGCTGGTCGAGGAAGGTGCTTGTCTTCCGTACCAGGTTCCAGATCATGTAGTTGTTCAGCAGGCTGGGGGCGGGGAGACAGGACGCACTCAGAGGTGCCCTGGGCTGGGAATGTCGCAGCACTCCCCCCACTGACCTCCAGGGTGCGCTCACACCCAACATTCTGATCCCATGGGCTCTTCCCACACCCGGCTCAGTTTGTCAGGTAGGCTCAGTTTGTCAGGTAACGAATGCTCTCTAAGCACCTGGACTGTCACCTCCAGGGCAGAGCCTCAGTCTGAAAGGCCCTCAGCGCCTAGTGCAGCAATCTGTACCCCACACGTGCTCAGTAAGTGCTTGTGAGCCTCGAACTGGAACCAACCAGGGGAGGGGGAGTACATAATCATCCATTTCCTCCGTGGAATCCCATGTAGCTATGAAAAAGGAGGTCTGCGGAGGGCTTGGGAGGACATGGGTAAATGCTTATGATAAAAGTCAAGGGAGGCCCTGGCCGGGCAGTCCAGTCAGTCAGAGCGTCGTCCCCATATGGCAAGGTCACAGGTTTGATCCCCAGTCAGGGCACATACAAGAATCAATCCGTGAACGTGTAAATAAGTGGAACAACACATTGATCTCTCTCTCTCTCTCTCTAAAAAATCAATTAGCCGAAACTGGTTTGGCTCAGTGGTAGAGCGTCGGCCTGCGGACTGAAAGGTCCCAGGTTCAATTCCAGTCAGGGCACGTACCTTGGTTGCGGGCACATCCCCAGTTGGGGGTGTGCAAGAGGCAGCTGGTCGATGTTTCTCTCTCATCGACGTTTCTAGCTCTCTATCTCTCTCCCTTCCTCTCTGTAAAAAATCAATAAAATATATTAAAAAAATAAAAAATAAAAAATCAATTAAAAACCAGTCCAGGGAAAAGCAGACCATATCTCTAGCACAATGACGGGGGGAAAGATGTGCATTAGAAACCCATCTCTGTCCTCCTCTCACATACACGCTTTCTCTCTCCACATGTGCACACCCACAAACACACACATCCCACAAGATCTGCCTTCGTATTTGGATTAACTATAATCTTTTCCCGTAGTTTTCAAAAATTTCTACAGCAAAATCTTTAAAATTTAAGAAAACATCATACATACTAATAACACGAGCTAACGTTTACTGAGTCCATTCCGCGTCAAGCACTCTATTAAAACACTGCACGTGGGGTATCTCACTCAGGTCTCCCAACAACCCTACAGGGGAGGGACCACTTGTACCCCCATGTTATGGATTTGGAAAATGAACCCGAGAAAGGGTAAGACATGTGCCCGAGGCTACAAAGCTGGCAGGTGGGGGAGCTGGGATTGGAACCCGCGCTCAGAACCATGGTGCCCTGCTGCCTCTCATAAAAAAAACCAACGCCAGGGCCCACATCCCTGAGCCAGTCTGCCCTCGCGCGGCCATCCTGCCTGAGGAGAGGGCAGCGGGGTGACCCCGGAGACTTCCTGCGAGGGGCCCACCCAGGCCGCGGAGCCTCACCACTTGTCGGTGTTGTTGATGAGGGTGGAGACCTGGCTGAGGTACTCCTTGTCATAGACAACGATCGGCTCGGACTCGTTGATCTCCACGGGCGAGAAGATGGTGTTGAGGAAGGGCAGCCAGTTGATGGCGGGCGCCAGGGTCTGGAAGAGAAGAGGACAGGGTGATGCCGAGCCCAGGTCCCCATGGTGTCGTGGTGCCTCCGTCCCTGGACAGCGCAGGGAGCTGGGAGCTGTCCCACGATGCACTGGGCAGATGTCAAGCCAAGGCTGGCTGGCTCTCATCGGAGAGGCTGTACGTAGAATTCTTTTTTAAAAAAATATGCTCACGTGGTATTTTATGGACTGGCCTCTCTGAAACATGTTAAAACTCACATGGCTAGTGGAACGTGCTGTATTAAAATGTTGCTCAACATGACAAATTCCTAACCTGAAGGATTTTCATGTAGGAAATGAACAAGTGAACATGACATTTAGGTGGCAAAATTCAGGTTACAAATATAAGGTAAACAGCAACTAGTATATTTCTGGTTTAATGGAAAACAACAGTGTGAGAGTCACGCTTAACACCTTGGTTAAGAGAGAAATACGCAGGAGTGTAAGAGGTATGCACCTAGGATTCTAAGAGCCAAAAATTTAACTTGATGTGGAACGAGGAGGAGACATGTGGAAGAGAGGAGACACGGTGGCAGCAGCAGCAAGAAGCTACTGTTGACCAAGCCCCTCCCATGCCAGGTTCCATGCTAACCACTCACACATCTCCCAACATCCTCATGACAAGCCTAGGAGGTAGGTACTGTTATCTCTGGTGTATTGATGAGGAAACTGAGCCTCCGACGGGCCTTAATGGGCCCAAGCACCAAAGGGGTCTCGGGTTCAATTACCTGAGATTCAGGATCGATCCCTGGCCCCGGTCAGGGCATAAGAGACGCAACCAATCAATGCGTCTCTCTCACATTAATGTTTCTCTCTCTCCCCCGCCTCCCTCCCTTTTACTTTCTCAAAAAAAAAAAAAAAAAAAAAAAAAAAAAAAATCACGTGTAGAACGATAACCTTCAGCAAGAAAGGAAAAGCCCTTAGCTCAGCTGATGCCTGCAGGAAGCCGGCAGCTCTATTTTAAGGTGATTTAAATCGAGCACCTGCGCAGGCTCCCTCCCCACAGAGGCACAGCCAGCTCTGTGCACCTCAGCTCCTGGCAGGCTGCACGCCCCCTCCGAGCACCCGAGCACCCGTTTGTCTACAGCCAGCATTTCCGCTTCCCACCAGGCAGCCTCCAGCCAAGCTGTGTGATCTCTGCAGGTTCCAATGATTGCTTTGTGAGTGTTTTGATTACGAAGTTAACTCAACAATTTTTTTTAAAACTGCGGTAAAAATGCACATCTGAAATGAGCCCTCTTAACCCTTCGTGAGTGTGCACACGTTTTCAGTGGCATCAGAAGGCAACCATCACCACCACCACCATCGCGCAGAAATGAAACTCGGTGCCTATCAAACAGTAACTTCTCCGGCCCCTGGAGCCCCCACGCCACCTTCCGTCTCTGTGCATCTGACCACGTGTGGAAGTGGAATCACACAGTATCTGACCTTGGGAGGCGGGCTCATTTCACTTAGCAATGCCCTCGAGACAAGTTGCACCACTTTTTAAAAATATATATTTGTACTGATTTCAGAGAGGAAGGGAGAGGAATAGAGAGATAGAAACATCAATGATGAGAGAGAATCATTGATTGGCTGCCTCCTGCATGCCCCCTGTTGGGGGGATCGAGCCTGAAACCCCAGCATATGCCCGTGGCTGGAATTGAACCTTTAGTCTACAGGCCGACGCTCTATCCACTGAGCCAAACCAGCTAGGGCAAGTTGCACCACGTTGGAATGGTCTGCTTTAAACCTGTTTTTCCCATATGTCTTGTTATTTTTAGTTACCTTTTTTCCTGTAATTTTACAGAATGCAACGTTTTCTTGGGACTACAGCAAAAGTGCCTGTGGCTATTGTAATCACTGCTCTGGTCTCCCACGAGTGGGCCTGGGCTCATTCAATTCCAAATTCTGTTCTGTTCCCTTGAAAAAGGGCAAAATGCAAGAGGTAGGAAGGTGCGAGCGGCATTATAGATGACCTTTGTATGAATCAATAACGTAAAAGCTGCCCAGCAGGTGTGGCTCAATGGTTGAGCATTGACTTGTGAACCAGGAGGTCAAGGTCTGATTCCTGGTCAGGGCACATGCTCAGGTTTTGGGCTTGACCCTCCAGTAGGGGGCGTGCAGGAGGCAGCCAATCAATGATTCTCTCTCATCATTGATGTTTCTTTCTCTCCCTCTTTTCCTCACTGAAATTAATAAAACATATATATTAAAAAATAATGTAAACTCAGTCTGAAACATCAGCTGGATCTATAACTTGTTGGTAAACACTTACGGAGTCCTCCATGAGAGAGGCAGCCATGGAAACCCTCCAAGTAACAGACACCGAGCTTGCAGACGAGCGACAGTGTCTCTGCGGAGGTCACAGGGTGAGCCAGTGACTGTGCAGGTCTAAAACCGGGGTGTGCTCATGTGTCTGGTTTTAAAGGGCAGCTCAGCTCAGCTGCTGGGGAACGAGGACCTTGGAGGCTGGAGGAGGGCAGCTCCCGCAGGCCAGGGCTTGACAACTGGCTCTCTGCGTGGCTTGTATTTCCACCCTGACCTACTCAGACTTCCCTCAGAGCTGGGAAGAGCTGTGCCCTGTGCGCTCCTGCGAACGTCCGCCCGCCCCTCAGTGGGATGGCGGGGAGGAGCCCATGCTGGCCTGAGGAGACCCCGTCTTTCTCTAAAACGGGGACAGCGATTCCCCACCCCCCCCACGGTTGGCTGCCCTGCGCCTCTCGGGACAGCTTGCTCAACAAACCCGAGTTTCCTTTCTCCCAGCTTGTCCGCCCTGCCCTCTGGTCCTGGCAGGGGCCCCTCGGGCAGGCAGCCTCTGGGGCTTCCCCTTACCATTTCTGTGGCTGCGAAACCTGGAGGTGTTTAGTGAGACGCTCACATAGGGCTCTGAACATAGAGCCACCTGTCCACATGGCCTGCTGGCAAAGACCCCTGGGAAATTGGCCACTTTTGCAAAGCGTCGCTGTTTATACAGTTAACAAGAGCTTCCTAAACGGCAGGCGACTGGAACCCTCCGACCGGGGCACAGCCATCGGGAGATAAACCTCCACCTGCTCAACACAGACCCGGTCCTTAGGGCACCGGTGGGCTGTGCGGCCAGTTCCCACCACTCGGAGGGAGGGTGCGTGTGGAAAGCCAGGATTCTCACGTTTTCAACCTCTATTTCCGCAGAGAACGCCCAACTTGAACACGCGTGCCTAGGTCCACGAGGACACTCCACTTGTGACTCAAATCCTTTGGGACATCCCATGCACTCTATTTTCCTTCTTTGCAAGCCAGAGAAGGAGGCTTGCAAAGCGGGAGAGAAAAGAAAGATGCTATCAGCCTTTGTCTCCGCAGGAGGATTTAAAGGGGATGGGACTCACTCCCAAACACCTTTGGGTGTGGAAGGTCCCGGAAAAGAACGGGAGGGTCCTCAGGCCCCCAGAGAAGCGGCAGAAGGACGCTGGATTCAGCGCTCTGAATTCGGACTCTGCTGGGCAGCCCCACACGGAGGGCTGGAGCGCCTGCCAGGCACCAGCAGGGAGGGAGGGAAGCCAGCTTCCAGCAGCCAGCACACAAGGCACTCTCTGTCCAAGCGGGGAAGGAATCGAATGAGTTCAGCGCCAGAGCCGTGGCTGGGATCACCGTAACAAAGGAATAATACCGATCCCGGGGACAGAAATCTCTCTGCTTGGCATGTATCAGTTTACAAAGGGAAATCTCATCCCTCGCTTCATCGCACCCTCTCGCAACCCCAGGCAGAGATTCTTATCCGGGAGCCAGGCTTCAGGGGCCCGGGACGGCTTGAAACGTAATTGTCTCCCATGTCCATTTCCTCCGAGAGACACCGCACAGGTTCAGCCTGTTCTCCTAAGGCTCTGCCATGTCCAGCTGCCAGGGCAGGCGCTGCCACGCAAGTGTCTCCCTGGCACATGGCAGGGGTGCATGAATGGGCAAAGCCCCATTTCACAAGAAAGGAAACCAAGGCTCAAAGAAGGGGCTGTGTGACTTGCCCAAGGTCTCACAGCGAGCGGGGGGGCTGGGTCAGAGCAGTCTTCTGACCCCGCCCGGGGCTCATGGCACTCAGGCTGCGGCCTCTGCCGAGTCCTCCCCTGGGAGGGAGGAAGGACAGAACGAGAGCAATGGCGATAGGATGCCAGGGGGTAGAAGCCGATAGCCAGGCTGGGGCTGATGTGCCCAGGGCTACTGTGCCTTGGCACATAGTCAGTTGGCATCGTGGCCGCGGTGGGGGCTGAGGCCCCCCTTGAGCTGAGAACTGGGCAGCTGGAGCAAACCAAATTACGGTGCACAAACAGCACCTCCCTCGGCCTGGCCTCAGAGCAGAAAAACAGTGCCAGATGGTGCCTATCATGGGCTGTTGATCTTCCTGACACCCCCTCTCCCCCGCCCCCAGCCTGATGCCAGCTTCTCGGGGCACTTAGAGGGCAGTTGGCACCCAGGAGGCCACGTTTGCCTCCACCTGGGCTAGGCTCACCCCTCTCCAGACTCGCCTTCCCCGGCTTCGCCCTGCCCTGCCCTAGTGCCCCGCTTCTTTTGCTTAAAGCACTGAGTGGTGGGTCTGGGGTTGTTTCCTTGTTGGCGGCCCCATGTACCCCTGTCAAAGGGAGGGATGGAGGATAAAAGGGCAGGGACCTCCGTGTTCTTCCAGAAAAGAGAGTAAATGAGCCAAACTCTAATGCATGGGCAGGACCTGGCTGGTCAGAGGGTAGAGAAGGGAGGAGACCTGTCAGCCTGTCCCAGACATCCTCCCCTGAGAGCAAGGCCCAGCCAAGCATTCCTGGGCGATGGCAGGGAACAGGAAGATGGGCTGAGGCCACTCGGCTGGTTCCCTCTGTGACCCGGGGTTTGGGGTAAGGCTGGACACGAACACCCCATGAAGTGGAAAGAAGGAATTTGGCAGGCAGACTCGTGACCTGCAGGTCCCAGGCAGCCAGCAGGGGGCAGCCTTTCACAAAGGCTGGGCTATGGAGGGATCTTCTCAGATGAGTCATGCTCAGTACAGAGAGCCTCACAGTTGGACCCTAATCTGATTCCACCTGGGTCACCGGGGTCACGGTCAAAAGTAGAGCTTCAGTTAGCCAAGCCTGATTCCAATGCCAAGCTTCCCTGTTAGGTAGGAGCCTCATGGCTTTCAACATGCCCCCTAACCTCCAGGCTTAAAAAAGGGTGAGATGGTTTGGCTCAATGGATAGAGTCGGCCTGTGGACCGAAGGGTCCCCAGGTTCGATTCCGGCCAAGGGCAACACACCGGGGTTGTGGGCTCGATCCACAGTAGGGTGCGTGCAGGAGGCAGCCAATCAATGATTCTCTCTCATCATTGATGTTTCTATCTCTTTCCCTCTCTGAAAATAAAAATCTCTATATATTAAAGCCTAAGACAAGACGACTGACTGACCGACTGACCGACCAGCTGACCAGCTGACCAGCAGATTAGCTGGTAGCTATGATGTACACTGACCAACAGAGGGCAGACGCTCAATGCACAGGCATGGAAACACAGAACATACTGATGAATCTCAGGAGGGAAGTGGGGAGGGTGGGAAGAGATTAACCAAAGATATTATATGCGTACTAGAGGCCCAGTGCATGGATTTGTGCACCAGTGGGGTCCCTTGGCCTGGCCTGCAGGGATCAGGCTGAAACTGGCTCTCCGACATTCTCCAAGGGGTCATGGATTACAAGAGGGCACAGGCCAGGCAGAGGGACCCCACCGGTGCACGAATCCATGCACCAGGCCTCTGGTATATTAATTAAAAAAAAAAAAAAAAAGTGTGAAGTGTTGACAGAACCTGTCCCTCACATTTACTGTTTGCTGTGTACCAGGCTCGATAGCTTGGTGCTTGAGATACTGGCAATGTCCAATCAATGTGAGCTATTGTCAAGCCCACAGCCTCCCCGGGCAAATGCTGTTACCGAAAAGCAGCCTGGTGTAGGCAAGAGACTAGCTTTGGAGTCTAGCCGTGTGGCCTTCAGCGGCAAACCCCACCTCTCAGAGCCTCCGTCAGCTTTTCCACCTGGGAAGTGGGTAGAACAACCAGCCCAGCTTCAGAGGGTGTTCTGAGGGGCTGACGAAGTGGGTGAGGAACCCCGGCCCCGCGGCCGCCCCCCGGAGCCCCCGTCACCTGCAGCTCGGCGGCCGTCACTTTGTGGTAGATGAGCTCCTCGTCCCGGCGCTTCTCCTGGGGGATGGTGATGTTGGCCAGCGTCGTCTCGAAGTCCAGGATCTGCTGCATCTGGGGCCGCACGGCGTCCTCGTCCCCGCCGCCCAGCAGCCTCCCCAGCTGCACCATGTAGTTCAGGTATCCGGTCAGCACCTGTGGGACGCCCTGTCAGCGGCGGCCACCCCCGTCCCCGTGGCCCAGCGCGGGGCGGGAGGGGCCGGTGCCTTCTGGGCGCCCGCCGGAAACAGCTTCTAGAAGGAGTTTGGCAGTGCACCGCTTCATGGCTCCACACGGCCCCCGGGCCCAAGGCCACAGGTCCCCGGAGGCTCGGTCCCTGCTGCCAGGTCCACATTCCCCCTGCATGCTCGGCCCACCAGAGCCATCTTTCAGTGCCTGGAACTCTCTTTTTCTCAACTGTTCTCACTGCCCTCCCTCCCCTGCCTCGCTCCCCATCTAAATTAGGTCCCCAGGTTACTTTCTGCGTTCGCCTTTCCTCATCACCATTTGTCATTCTGCCTCCGATTGGTGGTGAATGAACATCTGCCTCCCCGGCTAGTCCTGACGCCCTGCCCTCTTCACCACCGTCTTCTCCCCAGCACCAGGCACAGTGGGCACGTGGGTGGGCTGAGGAGCACACAGATGTCGAACCTCAGGCCGGGTCTCCCCGGGACAGCACGGACGCAGTCAGGGGGGTGGGAAGGCGTGCGGTTTAGCGTTTGTGGGTCTGGACAGGAGTCTCAGCCTCAGCTAAGTGACCTCGAGCAGATCAGGCATTGTCTCCGAGCCGTATTCCCTCCTCTGACACAGGCAAGGAGGGAACAATACCCAGGGACGGATGGGGCGGAGGAAGGTCAGAGGAGACGCTCAGGATCCGCAGGGTCACCAGAGGGCCTCAGGTGGGAGAGGCCCAGCACCGCCGACGGCAGGCTGTCCCGCTGCATCGCTCTAGAACGGGGACACACGACACCTGCTCCTGCCTTTTGAGCCCATGATGCCGGGATGTGAGTCAGCCTCCCTCTGGGATGGGGCACCCTCCCTGCCAGGGACTGCGTGTCGCCTGTCAGGTAAGTGACACCTCTGGGTCCCTCTCTAACTTCAAAGACCCGCACACTCGGGGGACCCGGGGTGGGGGACGCGTCACGGAGAGCCGGGGGCGGGAGCCGCTGTCTTGGCAGAGGCCCACTCACCTTCTCATTTCCCGTTTTGTTCAGGTAATAATCCCTTGAGGGCAAGCCCAGGCCAGACTGGTCCACCTGGGGAGAAAGGCGGGAGTGAGAGGAAACCTCCTGTTTGCACACGCACCCTGCGGGCCTCCGGAGGGCCAGACAGAGCCCCCTTCCTCTCTCAACGCCTCCCAGGCCCAGCAGAGTGGCTCTAGCTCACCATACACTGCCCAAGATGGAGCAGTGGTTAGGAGCCACTCAAGCTGTGTAACCTTGGTCAAGGTACTGACCCTGCCTGATCCCCAGGTTCCTCATCTGCAAAATAGGGGGGTAGGGGTGTGGGGGGGCAATAGCTAACCCTCAGGCTGGAAAAGGGATTCCAGGAGGGAGTGCCAGTAAAGGGCTTGGTGCATGGGGGGCTGGTGAGGAATATCAATTCCCAACCGTTATGGCCTCACCTCGTCAGACCTAGACTAGAGCAGGTGTTATTACAATGCATGTGATCTCTTCCCAGCCTTCTGGTGAAGATCAAGTGCACAGTTCATTTCACTGGTAAGGACATGGGAGCTCAGAAAGGTGGAGGCACTTGCCCAAGGACACACAGCGAGTGAATGATGAATGGCAGAGATAATGGAAATTCAGCCTTCATGGAGAGAGAGATGGACTCCAAGCCGTTCCAGGCAGAGACACAAAGGCTGGAGGCTGAGGTGGGGGGACTGAGACGTGGCTCCAGCTGAGCCTCGGGGTTGACATCCCCCCTGGAGCCCACAGTGACCATCAGAACCCCGGGATTCCTTGGTGTTGCAGCAGCCCCGCCTACCCCCAGAGGCAGTGGCCCTTCCAAACTTCCAGCCTGGAAAGCTCTCAACATTGGGAGCCAAGACTGTCTGCCAGGCCAGGGCCAGAGCCAGTCCCCTCCCCACCCGCCCCGAGGCCCCTCCCCACCCGCCCCGAGGCCCCTCCCCACCTGCCCCGAGGCCCCTCCCCACCTGCCCCGAGGCCCCTCCCCACCTGCCCCAAGGCGGCGCTTGCTAAACTCGGAACAGGCCACGCGGTCCTGCACCTCCTTCTGGGAAGGCCGGCCGCTCACCTGGATCACGTTGCTGTTGGAGTTCTTGGAGTCAGCGCTGACGTAGACGGAGAAGAAGGGCGAGGTGCGGTAGTGGGATGTGACCACCTGCAGGGTCTCCTGGAAGTTGTCCTTGTCCCAGGGCCCCGTAATGTTCCAGCCCCCGAGCTGCGGGAGGGAGGACACAGGGAGGGGAGGAGATGGCGGGAGACCTGGGTGCGAAATGCGCTCCGCAGCCCCGGTCAGCCACTGGGCCTCTCTGAGCCTCCAGAGCAAACGAAGGGGACGGTGCCCATCAGCCAGAGACCCCGGATGGAGCAGACGCACCCTGGACAAGGAGCTGTGCGTCCACACCACGGCTGCTCCCTGGCGGCCGGAGGCGGGATGGGAAGAAGACTCTTCCGGAACACTGTTTATTTTTTTAACACTAAGTCCCATGAATGTCATCCCTATTTTTAAAAAATATATATTTTATTGATTTTTAACAGAGAGGAAGAGAGAGGGACCCTGCTCCACCATGCACGGCCGGTCGTGGTGGCGCTGGGACAGAAGCCAGAGGGCAGGCAGGGGGCACGGCCGGGGAGACCGGGAGCGTCTGCCGGAGGCACTCACCCTCTCAATCAGCTCCATCAGCGGCTTGGCCTTCAGCTCCTCGATCTTGGTTTCGTTCATGCACGCGAGGTAGTACACCTGGGCCTTCTTCTCTGCCTCGCTCACGCTGGCCGTGGAGTTTTCTGGAACGACAGGAGAGCCATCTGCGACATGCCCCTGCGTCCCGCTGGGAGCCTGGGTGGTCCTCTGGGGCCGGGGCTGTGAGGCGTGCCCCGAGCTGAGGCCCTGCTTGCCGGGGCGGCTGTGAGGAGCTGTCAGAGCAGGTACGGGACCGGCCTGGGCACAGCCGGGCAAACTGGAGGTGCCCCTGCTCGGAGCTGCCCGCAAGCAAGAAGAGAAGACACTGCTTCCCCGCCTGGTGGTCGGGCGTGCAGACGTGTGCCCGGCTGGCAGCGTGGGCGCCCAGCTGGAGGGCGGTCCGCTTCCCCGCTGGCCGCGGGGCCCGAACCCCCCGCCCGAGAGGCCTGTCTTGGCTGCAGGTCCCAGATGGCCTTCCCAGTGACAAAGACTGGAGAGGGTGGCAGCCTTAACGGCCTCATTCATTCTAGGAATGCACGTTCAGCGTCTTCCTCCGAGCGCCCGGGACGCTCCTCAGACGGACAGCGGACCCCGGGGCCGTCTGCCATTTCCCGACCCAACCCCGGCAAGCAGGATCGCAGCCCCTTACACTCAAACCCCAGGCGACGGTCCCTCCTCCCTGTCCGTGGGGCCCTGGTCCAGATGACACCTGCTGAGGGCTGTGCTCCTGTGTGTGGGAGAGCACAGAGCAGGGTCCCGGCGGCACCCAGGGAAGGCGACCCCTTCCTGCTGTTCAGGTCACCGGACCTACTATGCGCCCAGGGAAGGCGACCCCTTCCTGCTGTTCAGGTCACCGAACCTACTATGCGCCCAGGGAAGGCGACCCCTTCCTGCTGTTCAGGTCACTGGACCTATTATGCGCCCAGGGAAGGCGACCCCTTCCTGCTGTTCAGGTCACCGGACCTACTATGCGCCTGAGCTTTCGTCTCAGGGTCCGTCTCCCCCCACCTCCCCACCCCCCCGTTCCAGACCCCGGGTCCCCAACTCCCTCCGTTCCCTCTGCCCAGCTCCCTGGGGAGCTAGCTCCTCGCTGCTCTGGCCACTTTGCCTCAGTTCATGTTTGTCTTTCCTGGACCTGAAACTCCTTCCTTTGCTTCCTTCCAAAACCACCCCAACCCCCACGTCCTCCATGCAGGCTTTTTGGGCAGAAAGTTCCCCATTCATCCGGTACACAGATGCTTCCTCTGGGCAGGCCTTGGGGGTGCAAGCCCCCGTCCTCTGGAGAGAAGCCGGGTGGGGTGGGGGCGATGAAAGTGGGCTGGGAGAGGTTTATGGGGGGAGAGAAGGACCTGTCATCCTTTCAAAATAAAGATTTTATACGCATTTTCCCCACATTTTATTGATTTTTTTTTACAGAGAGGAAGGGAGAGGGATAGAGAGCTAGAAACATCGATGAGAGAGAAACATCGACCAGCTGCCTCCTGCACCCCCCCCCCCCCCCCCCGCTGGGGATGTGCCTGCAACTAAGGTACATGCCCTTGACCGGAATTGAACCTGGGACCCTTCAGTCCACAGACCGATGCTCTATCCACTGAGCCAAACCGGTTTTGGATCAACAATAAAGATTTTTTTTAAAGAGAAAAAGCTTGCCCTGGCCCTTTTGCATGGGACACTGCCAACTCTCCTCGGCCTTCAAGGCCCCTCTCAGGGGGTTCCCAAGCGGTTCATTCGTGCAGGTTCTCAGCATTCAGCACCTCTGGGGGCCAGGCCCAGGGCTGGGGGCCAGGGTTTACAACGAACAAGACCTGCTCTCCCCTCCCGGCCCCCAAGGAGCTCAGGTCTAAGAGTAAACACAGACATACGAAGAAATGAACCGCGAGACACCAAAGTGCTTACACGCAAATGGTTTTGGGACCCAGAAAAGAAGTCACACACGTGGGCGGGGCGGGGCCAGGGGGCCTCCCGGGAGGTCCTGGCCGAGCTGCTTCTGGAAGATGCAGTTACTCACCAGGTTGGAATGAGGGCAAAGGGCACCGGGTCTGGGGGGAGCTGGAGAGTGTGAGGAAAACAAGCCGAAAGGGCATGGGTTTGGAGGAAAGAAAGCCATTCGCAGCCGGCTGGTACAAAGGACGCGAGTCACTTCCTGCTGGTCTAATCAGCGTGCCCGGCCCTCATCCTGAACTCCCCCGCCCCAGCTCTCACCCTGAACGGCACCACGGCTCCCACTGGCAGGAGAGCGCCAGCCCTGCCTGGCTGAAGTCAGGGGGACGCCCACAGGGAGGGGAGCCTGCAGGGTGATGGGGTGACAGTGCAGGGATGAGGTGCTTTGGGGCACACAGCCCCGCAGGGCAGCACCTGCACGTCCTTCCCTGCCCTCCGAGCAGGGGAAGAGCTCCCTGGAGGAAAGGCAGGGACTTGCCCCCGCTCCTCAGACTCAGAAAGCAGCAAAGCAGGAAAAGCTACATGTTCCCCATCCCCTCCCAGGGGCTGCGTTTCTATGACAACACCTCCCAGCAGCGAGGCTCCGGGAAGGGGGAGCACGAATCCGAATCCTCGCAGATGTCTGGCTGGCCACATCTGGCTCTGGCCGTGACCCTGAAATGCCAGGGCCAGCGTCAGGGGAGGCACACTCTGTGCGCTCTGGCCCGTCAGGGGGCCGGCAGCTCCCTCCCCCAGGGCCCCAAGGCCACCCAGATAAGAGGCCCACAGGAAGGCTCCAGGGACAGGCCGGCTGCACTCCCTACAGCAACTTCCAGGGGCCCCCTCCCCCACCTGTTTGCAACCCCCACAGGGCCTCCGGGAGGGGCAGGAAAGCCCTCCTTCGGGTTCAAACTCCCCATCCCCCCAGCTCCGCGCCCTGGGTGTCCCCCCACCCATTTCCCCACAAATGTTATTAAGTTCTTATGGTTCGGCGGCTGCTGAGGTGGCATAGGCAACATGGACACGAGACTGCTGTCATAAGGCCTGCAGCCCGCACAAGGCCCGCAGCCCAAACCAGGGCCGGCCAGACAGACAGACAGACAGACAGCCGTATGACTCTCACAACGGCCTCGGATTACACCATGGGGCACATGCCGGGGAGGCCGGTCATCCCTGCTCCCCAGTGCCCGGTGGGCACACAGCAGCCATCAGCGATGTCTGCTGAGAGCACAGAGCCCAGTGTCTGCTGCTGACAAGGAAGGGCACAGCATCCAGGGGCCGAGAGGGTGAGGAGGAAGTGAGGCAGGTGGGGCAGAAAGAGACATTAGTGAGGGTCCCACCAGGAGTCAGTGTTCATACCCCCGATTCCCTCTCTGGCCTGGCGGGGGCAGGAGCCCTGGGGAAAGGAAAGCCCCTCCCTCCCCTGCTCACCCACCTCCTCAAGGGCACCTACCACCTGGCAGGACAAGAGCTGAAGGGAGATGGCCAGGTGGGGGTTGGGGGCCGCTGTTAACAGTGAACGGGGCAGGGCAGGGCCAAGTGGCAGCAGGAAAGGAGAGAGCGAGCAGTCAGGGCGGCATTCTGCCCAGGTTTCTTGGTCTGAGAAGGGGGATGCTACTGAGGTTCGGAAGGTTGGGTGGGGCAGGGGCGGGAGTGGAATGGCTGTCCAGATGCCTACTGCATCCGAGATGTCTATTAGGATCTCTCTCTGGGAGGGAGTTAACAGAGCCGCGTCTTGAATGACTTGGAGTCCGGATGGACCCTGGAGTATACAGACACCTTACACTTGGCGATCCACTCATTCGAGACAGGGGCAGTATTGCCCCCAAGGGGGAGAGGATTCGTTCTTAGGGGGTAGAAACAACTTACTATATATTTTTTCCTAATATATTTTTATTGATTTCGGAGAGGAAGGGAGCGGGAGAAACAGAAACATCAATGATATGAGAATCACCAATCAGCTGCCTCCTGCATGTCCCACACTGGAGATCAAGCCCAAAACCTGGGCATGTGCCCTGACCGGGAATCGAACCACGACCTTCTGGTTCATAGGTTGATGCTCAACCACTGAGCCACACCAGCCAGACCCAACTTGCTCTTTCTATGTGCACGTATGGTACGTAACAGGAATACAGCGTATTTGTGGTATTCCACGTTTAGGAGGGGGCAATCCTGAAAAAGGTGGAGAAACACTGGCGGGCGGATCTGGGCCCTGCACCTCCCAGCTGCCTCCTGCTCCGGCTCCTCTCCCTCTCGCTCCCACAGTCCCGCCCCAGGGCCGCTGTGCTCACTGTTCCTCCTGCTTGCCACACTCTTCCCTTCACATCCACGGGGTCCGTTGGCTCACTAAGTTCAAGTTTCTGCTCCAATGTCCCCTCCTCAGAAAGCCCACCGCTTCTTCCCTCCTCCTCCCTGGCAGGCCCCACATGTTCTTTGCTTTTTTTTTTTTCAAAGCCCTAATTCTTCACATATTACTTATTTACTCATTTTTTTGCTTATTGTTTGTCTCTCCTGCTGGAATGAACTTCCACAGGAAAAGACCGTCATATTCCTGACGCAATGTCTGGCACATAATCACTGAATGAATACAGAATCACTGAACGAATGAATGAATGAGTGAATGAATAAATGAGTGCTCTGGGAGCTCCAAAGAAAAGGTGTTAGAGCGTCGGTCTGCGGACTGAAAGGTCCCAGGTTCGATTCTGGTCAAGGGTATGTACCTTGGTTGCGGGCACATCCCAGGTAGGGTGTGTGCAAGAGGCAGTTGGTCGATGTTTCTCTCTCATCGACGTTTCTAGCTCTCTATCTCTCTCCCTTCCTCTCTGTAAAATATCAATAAAATATATTAAAAAGAAAAGAAAAGGTGTCGACCACTTTGGCCCGAGGGAGGAGGCTTGGGTGCAAACTGAAAGGACCACAGACAGTTTCCTCTCTAGGGAAATCTTGGTTTCCTGTAAGACACCCTACATTCCACCCAGCAGGGAGGAATCCACAGGGCAGCTCCCAGGACTGAGTCAGGAGATGGAGGCCCCAGTGGAGATAATGTGGTAACCCAGGGCCAGGCCTCAGGGCTCCCAACTGCCTGGGTCCTTCCTCCTAGCGAACCAGAGTTCCAGAAACTTCCTCAGTCGCTCCCCCAAAGTCCCAGGGAGGAAAGACAGCACACCCTTTAATCGTCCTGCTT